AAAACCCCATCTCAGGCTCCGCTTCCAGGGACCCAACCCGCGGAGCCCGCTACCTGCAGGATGTGCACGCCCTTCAGGGAGACCACGGCGAGCTCCCGCAGCCCGTCCCCGGTCAGGTCCACGTGGGCCATGGCCAGCAGCGGGCTGGGGAAGCTCCTCTGCCACAGCAGGCGGAATCCGCGTTCGGCCTCGGGGAGCCCCGACTCGGGGCCGCAGTACTTGTAACAGAGCAGCTCCTGCAGGGGCGAGGGGCTGGGTTACCCAGGGCGGCGGGGACCGTGGCGGGGAGGGCGGGTGTCAGCCCTTCCCTCAGGTCCTACCTGCCCATAGGTGGCCACCAGGACTTCCGGCTGCCCGTCCAAATCCACATCGGTGACCAGACCACAGAGGACGCTGTCAAACTGGTCACTGCCAGGCAAGAGAAGCTGGTCCTCCAGCCCCCGGCTCAGCAGGTCCCTGAGGGTCCCCAGGGCAGGGGCAGGCTGAGGTCAGATCGCAGCGCCCACCGCCCTTAGTGCCAGGCCCTGGGCCAGGGCCCACACAGCTCCACGTCGAAGGTCTGCACACCCTCCTGAAGCCTGGACACCCCCCTGATCTCCCTCATCTCCAACCTGATCATCTTCCTCTCCACCAAGGGGAGCTCAAATCCCTTACTCCGACTGCCCACCGGCTACTCCCCCATCTGGAGCCCCACACCTCCCCCGGAGGTGGGACCATCTGACTCCCAAATGGAAACCGACATGGGCCCCTGGGGGATCTAGACACCCACACGGTCCCCATGGAGCCTGGAGAGCTTGGTCCCCATTGGGGCCTCCTCACTGCCCACCAGGTGTGCCACAGCTGCCTCGTGCTGGTTCACCAGAGGTAATGCTCACAAGCTTGGCAAGCCTGCTGGCATCACGTCAGTGGCCTGAACTCCCCCATGGCGGGAGTATTTACACCATGGGAATCGGCAAATGCTACAAATCAAGCTTTTCTCACACACGAAGGCGGTCGTTACACACCTGCCAGCAGGCTTTCTCCCCTCCTCTAGGGAGAGCGGACAGCTCGTGCCCGTTCCAAGGCCTCCAGGTACCCCTACAAGTTCTAGACTTAAACACTTGCACCCACTCCCTGGGACATGAACACCTTCACCTGCCCAGCCCTGAACCACCTCACCCAGAGGGACAAGGTTAGACCACAGAGCAAAGGTCTGAGGTGAGACGGCACCCACGCGCCCCGGGCCCCTCACCGATACACCACTGCCGGCTCCAGCATGCTGGCCACGAGCACGCTGTACTCTTCCCGCTGCGGCCCGTCCTTGGTCTCTGGAGAAAGAACGTGAATGGGGGGTAGGTCTGAGGGGACGGGCCCAGGGTCCTCCTTGGACCTCCCTCCCCTCGGTGAGAGGAGCAGAGGTTAGACCTCAGGAGAAAGACCCGAGGGTGTGCTAGAGGGAGGGGCAGAGCTTAGAGGAGGAGAGAGTGACCGACGTCAGAGACCAGGAGGACAGAAGGTCTGGGGTTAGACCATGATAGCAGAAGAGGCAAAAGCTGGTGACAGCAGGGAG